CCTCACCAAGAAAGATCATGAGATGGCTTATTAGTTTTTTTATTCTGATCACATGTTGAAATGAGAACATTTTGGATATATTGGGTTATATACAATATATTCACTAAAATTTTAATTTCACTGACTTCTTACTTTCAATGTAGCTACTAAAATTTTTCAAGTTACAGTGTGGTTTGCTTGAAATTTTTATCTGAATGCGCTCTTCCCCTAGATAGGTAAAAACAAATTACAATATATACTATGGTATATACAAAATATATGTATATTACAAATAAATTATGCATTAAATAAAATGTCAAGCAGAGATAAATGTCGCACGGAAGGGTAAGGCTGCATGGGATGGGAGGCAGGACCCTGTGTGTGGAGGCACCAGCTGCTCTGGCACCCCAGCAAAGCCCTGTGATGATGTGGACAGTGACGATGAGGACAGGGGGGCTCAGACACTAGGAATCTCTTCCTCACGACCTGGAGGTGTGGCCTGAGGTCCAGGTGTGGCAGGGACAGCCCCTCCTGAGGCCCCGCTCCTTGGTGTGCAGGCACCGACCTGTTCTCTCTGCGTCTTCCTAGGCTGGCCCCTCCTTGGGTCTGTGTCCTGCTCTCCTTACAGGACCCCGCTCAGATTGGATGAGGGGCCAAAGACCTCACTGTACTTTAATCACTTGCTGAAATGCTCTGATTCCAAATACAGTGGACCCTTGACTTATGAACTCAATTCATTTCCAAGGGCTGGTTGTAACTCAAGGTGGTCAATCGAAGGCTCAGGACCCTCTTCACAGCCTTCGTAGTCTCCTGTACACACAGCATTCTTAGAGAGATGTTGGCCCAGGATTTCTCAGCCCCACATAGGAAAGGATGTTGTATTGTTTCTTCAAGAAATTTTTAAGGTTCAATCTGTATCTGAGACCATCTGGAAGCACAAGTGGCCACGTTTGGGTCATAACGCAAGATTTTGGTCATAAGTTAGAACTAAAATTTCAGTTATAACCCAGGTTATACGTATGTCAGGCCGGTCATAACTCGAGGGTCCACTGTACACTCACATTCTGAGGTACTGGGGCCAGAGTTTGAGCACATAAGTTTGGGGGACACACTGAGCCCTCCATGGAGGAACAGGGACACTCCAGGTGAGAGCCCAGGTGTGGTGGCTCATGCCTGTAATCCCAGCACTCTAGGAGGCTGAATCAGGATTGCAGGTTTGAGTCCCTCTTTGGGGAACTTAGTGAGAACAAACAAACAAATAAATAAACAAAAAATCTATGGATGTAGCAAAGGCCCTGGGTTCAATCCTCAGCACCAAAACAAAACAAAACAAATCAGCCTCCTCAAGAGGCAGTGCCTTTTGGTATAGGACACTGAGCACAGGGTAGGTTTCTGGCAGGATGTTCGCTGATTTGGACTTGGAACTTAGTTTTTTGTTTGTTTGGTTTTAAAAATTGTGGCTGTTTAAATGCCTGGGTGTTCTGGAGGACACGGCTGTTTTCTCTGTAGAATGGGAGTCAGAGTCTGGTGTTTCTGGGAGCTGCTGTCTCCAGAAGACAACAGAAACCCAGTGAAACAGACTGGTGGACGCTTCCGTGGCAAATTTCCAAGAAATATTGGTAAGCGAGAAAACTGAGCTGCGGAACAAAACGCAGTTATTTTAAAAACCACACACACAATCAAATGAAACCAAGCCAGGCATTTTCATACACCCGCAAGTTAGGTGTGCAAACCCACCCGCCCTCGGGAGAGGTTGGGAAGGAGCCAAAGGAAGGTTTTGTTTAATTCCACATTTCTCCTGTATTGTTGGAGGTTTATTTATTGTGTTTTAATGGCAAAAGCACATTAGAATTGTGCAGCAAAAGAGAAAAGAGAAAAGGAAATGTAAAATACAGCAGATAGGCAGCTGACACCTGGACTGGACTCCCAGCTCCCATTCTTGGACTCTCGCTGTGTGACATTGGGTGAGGCCCTCACTGTCTCTGGGCCTGAAGCAGAAGTTTAAGCAGGCTGTCCTCATGGTACAGGCACGCATATGTACCCTCATGCACACATGGCCACCCACAATTGTTCACGTGTGCCTGCGCCGCTGTGCACACAGCCATTCATGCACATGGTAGCCACACGTATGTAAACTCTCACTCACTCACGGTGGACACACAGGACATAAACACGTGCATAGGTCGTACATGATGCATACAGTGTGCATAGTCCTGTGTATTTGCACATGTACACAATCATGTGCACGCAGCAGCCTGTGCACACAGGCTCCTGCACGAATGGCCCTTGATCCCTGGCTCTTCCAAGTCACTCCTGCCAGGCTGTCTTGGGATAGAGGTGCAGCCCTCTACTTGGCACTCCTGATTGTGAACAGGAAGGAATGGGCCCAGTGAGACTCAGACGCTGGGGCTGGCAGGGCTGAGTTTGCAGCTGGGAGAGCTGGGTGTCAGTCCAGGGTCCACATGGACCTGTGTGACCACGCACAGGCTCCCACTTTCTAATCCGGCCTCCACCCTTGGTGCGCCCTACTTCAGGATGAGCTCGCCGCAGGAATGGCTTTGTGATCTGGGACGCTTCCGCCTGCAGAGAGCTTTGCACCGGTGACCAGGTGTCCACACTGTTCAGGTTATCTCAAGTAGATTCTGATGACACCATTAGTCTGTTAGTCCAGGGAGGCACCTGCTGGTCCCCAGGCCACACACTGGAAGAAAACCCAGGAATTTGCCATTTTCCTGAGGAATTGTGCTATGCCCCACAGAAAGGAAAGAAACTACAACAAACTCCACCCATGCCTGGCTTGGCACCCAAAGCTGGGCACAGCGTGAAGGTGGGTGGGTAGCACTGAGTGAGTGGCCAGGGTCCCCAGGAGGACCCAGCAGGTGGTGCTGTCCTCCCGGCCCGGGGGAACTGGAGGAGCTCTGGGCTCAGCAAATCCTGTTACATCATGGCAATTGCAGTTTATCGCTGCGGCACTAATCCCTTAAAATTAGTCATTAGCGTCTTAAGAACCATTTTAGCTTTGGGCGCACACTAAGGAGCTGGCAGAAGCTGGGATCTGCCAGAACCAGAACTTTCTCTGGCCTGGATGCAGTGGCTGAACGGAACCCAGGCGTGTGCGTTCTCCCTACATTGCTCCATTGCTGTCAGTCTGGGATGGCTACTGCTAATCCCTGGGCCAAACCCTGGGGGATGGAGCTACAGAAAACCCCGGAGGCCTTGAGACCAGCACCTGGAGCCATGGGAAGGACACCGGTATGAGGCTGTCCCTGGGGAAGTGGCCTTTTATCTGTGGGGCATCCACCCAATTCCAGATGCTGGAGGTGTGGCTGGTGGTCCAGGCTCTGCCTGTCAGATCAGGCCAGGGACCTGACTCCTGAGGTGACACTGGCTTGGGACAGCTGGTGGAGCCCTGAAGCCACCAGGGCCTGAGGCTGTGCATTCCCAGGGGTGTAGGAGGACAGGAGTCTGGGAGGGTAGAGTCCCCAGGATTGGGGTCTGGAGCTATAGGGTGTGTCCTCCAGATCCTGCCTGAAACTTCTGCTCCTGCTCCGGTTAGCCAGTCAGCTCTGGCATTGGGACTCAAAACAGCACCTTAGAGGTCCAGATTGGGTGGCTCTCCCAAAGCAGTGTACACACACACACACACACACACACACACACAATGGCTTCAAGCTCAGCTCCTTGGGCCATGATTTTGCCTGAGGCTGACCTGGACATGTCTTTATAGCTGGTGGCCCTGGCCTCAGCAGAATTTACCAATAGGCAGGCCCTGGAGTAGCACATCCTTATTCACTGTCCTACTACCGCTGGGCCCCACCCAGTAGCTCTAGGCAAGGCTGTGGTAGAGGGCTGGCCCCACTCTGCCACTCTCAGCCCAGGGCCGCAACGCTGATGGTGCTCTGGCACCCATGGTGGCTCTGGGCTCCTAGGTGGAGGGTGAGCGGCCACCCAGAAGTTGGTCCATGGCTGCCCAGGCCACTATGAACACTGTTCTATCCCTCTACCAGCACCAGGAAGAGCCGAGTACACAACAGAGATGCAGTGATGTCCAAAGAAAAACTAAGTGAATGAAACCACCCAAGTTCTGGGCTTGGTGGTGCATGCCTGTAATCCCAGCACTTAGGAGGCTGAGGCAGGAGGACCACTGTGAGTTCAAGACCAGCCTGGGCTACATAGTGAGCTCCAGGTCAGTCTCAACTACATAGTGAGACCCTGTCTCAAAAAAAAAAAAAAAAAAAAAACCACCCTGCTGTCCTTACCAGCCTGGCTGCATAGGGGTGGGGCTATGGGAGGGGCTGTCAGCCAGGCCCCTGGGTTCCTGGGCTTGGGTGTCTCAGCAGGGCTGGCCCCCTGAACCCCAGCGCCACAGTCCACACCCCAAACCCTGACCCTGCAGGACCCTGTCTGGGTCCCATGAACAAAGGGAAGGCTTGGAGCCAAGGTCACAGGCATCCTGCCACTAAATGGATGGTCCTGGCCAGAGCCTGAGCTTGCTGGAGGGCACGGTCACCGGCGTATGGGAGAGCTGGAGAGGAAACACATGTGCGTTCTTGGCTGTGGAGGTCCCCACAGTTCAGGGGAACCTTGGCTACCTTGGCTTGGGAGCCATCTGAGTACCTGCTATGTGACATAGCTTAACCCTCCTGGTGAGGAGACTTTTCCCTCCAGGGCAGAAGGGAGAAGCTCAGACGGGTGAGCAGCCGGCCTGAGGTCACACAAGAGCAGAGGTGGGACCAGGCCTTGGGATCCACTCCAGGGCCAGGGCTCTCCACCTATAATGGCTGGGTCCTCGCTGTCAGGCTGTCTCCTGCCCCCAGTGTGAGGCCTCCCCTTGGCACTTTCGTTCCCAGGTAAGGTGGGCGATTCTCCCCAGAGCCTCCTGGCCTGGAAGCTGGTCCTGGTGTCCGGGCCCTGGGCAGAGAGTGCAGTGGGCCGGGTGGTCCATAGGCATTGTGGCAAGGGGCCTGGCCACCTGGGGCTGTTCACACAGACAGCAGGAGGAGGCAACTGGAGAAGAAACTTTATTTCATGAATTGAGGACGTGGGGAATGCACCGGCTCCCGGGGGACTAAGTCTGAGCAGTGCAGTGTGTGAGCAGGGCAGTGGGGGTGGGGCCTGGGGAGGGGGAGCCTCAGGGGCTGACTCCAAAGCAGGACAGGGGGTGAGGCCCCCATGGCGGGTACTGTCCTCCCACAGTCACAAGTGTATGGTGCAGGGCTGGGTCAGTCAGGATGTGCGGGCGGGTAGGGCAGGGGTGCCCTCCGGTGAGGCCCAACTGGCTGCGTATGGTGATCACACCACACTGCTGCCTGACCGGCCTTTGGCAGATTCCAGGACACTGAGGGCTGGGTCACAGTGGCAGCTAGGCGGTGGTCTGGTGGCTGAAGAGCTCCAGGGTGAGCGCGCTGAGGAAGGCTGGGATGCTGTCTTGGCGCAGCAGGTGCAGCTCAATGAGCTCTGGCACTGAGCGGGAGAACTCTGTCTCCAGCAGCTGCATCTTGGAGCCAGAGGGTCCCATGGCCTGTGGGCGAGAGACAGCAGGCAGTGAGTAAGGGGCCGTGTGGCCTTGGCCCTCCTTCCTCTTCACATCCACTACAGCAATGGCAGGGCGGGGAGCTACAGTGTCGTCCAGGTGGGGAAGGGGCCCTTTGTCCTGTCCCCAGGGAGTGGGGCTCAGGTCACCAGCCAAAAAGCTGAAAGTCACACCAGCAGCCAGGCCTTGGGCTCCCCCAGATTTTGGAGCAGGCTCTCTGTCACCTGGTCAGGCAGCTGGTGGGAGGAGATGGCCCTGGTGCCAGCAGACCAGGAAAAGGTGGAGGAGGCTGCACCCTCAACACAGCAGATCCAAGCGTACACCCTAAGGGAGGACGCAGGACACTGGTGCTCCTTCTTCCGGCCACGAGGGGGAAGTTGGGGACCCCTGGGCCAGTGCCCTCCTGCCTGCTAACCTGACCACTGTTAAGGCTCCCTGGAGACCTTCAGCCGCTTGGCCTCGAGTCACCCCTGTGCCCTACACGCACCCCGCCACCCCGTGCGGAGGGCCTTCAAGGTGCGTGGGCTCCAGGAGCTGCCACCTGTCTTGTTTGTTACCTGAACTTTCCTGTTTTCCCACTCGCGCCTCCGCCTGTTCCTGCAGCCCGCTAATACATTTAGCCTTGTCATAGTTCAACACAAACCATTTTTAAACAAAAATAAGAGAAACCACTCTGACCTTTTCCCAAGAAAATCCTTTCATTTCTGCCTTCTGCTCTCGACTCTGAATGTTTTTCCCTAAATGTCAGAGGGGCCGACTCTCTGCAGCTGTTGGGGAAGCTAGTGGTTGGGGAGCAGATTGGGAGAAGTCTTCAGGGTCTCCTCCCAAGGACTTGGGCTGCCTGGCCTGGCCCTGGGCACCGCATTTCTCCTGGACCCCTTCCCAGGAGGCTGGGATCCCCGCCTTCTCTACTCAGAGCAGGGAGCTGTGACCACTGCATCTGGACTGGCCAGGAGCAGGGAGGGGCAGGGCCCCTACCCCCTACTGCATGGGTTCTGAAAGGAGGAGGTGGAGGTCCCTGCAACACAAAGGGGGCCTTGAAGAGGGCAGAAGTAGCAGGTGCTGCCCTTCATCCACACCCAGAGAAGGGGAGATCCTAAAGTCACCAAATGCCAGTCTTGCCCATTGGAGGAGCCTCTTCCCACAGCTGACCTGGGCTCTCAGCCCACTCTCCCAACTCAGTTTCTCCTGGCATGCCTGTCCCCTTTGCACTGGCAGGAGACCACTTCTTCTCGCAGATCTGCCTGGGCAGCAGCCTCGGCCTTATCAGAATGTGCAGATTGAATTATGCCCTGCCGATCAATCTCGGCTCAGCCTCTGTGTTCAAATACCACCCGGTCCCCAGGTGCCTTGTAAATCACCATAATTAGGGGCTGTTCACTTAAAATTAGAGTGCAATTTTTTAAAAAGCAAATTGCCCAGTAAGACGTGTTGGCTGTGGCTAGAAATATTTATGGGCTTGCCTACATGTGCTGTCGCTGGCTTCCTCTCCCCTCTGTTTGGGGGGACGGGCAGTGTGGCCGGGGGGTGCCTGGGGGACAATGAGACAACTCAACCCTAATGAACACACTTGGCTGCCTGGCAGGTGGCAGCCACCACTCGGGCCGGACCTGCCTCACCTGGCCTCGGGCCTCTGCCTCCACCTGACAGCAGAGCTGCGTGTGCCCCAAGGCCTCCCTCTCAGGTGGGAAGGCCAGCTGCAGGCAGGGCCTTCACTAACAGGAAATGCAGGAGACAAGTGTCCCACAGTGCACAGGGTGCCTGGGCCCCCGGAGTTCACTGAGTACTGGTTCACCCTCTCCCCGGACCTGGCAGTGTCCCTGCCAGTGCATATAGTAGGCGCTTCAGAAAACTTTGACATCTGGAGTTCTGAGTAGAGAAAGATCCAGCACTAACAGAGACTTTGGAGAACAGAGACAGACACTTTCGCCATGGCCATCCTGCCCCCACTATCTGCAGTTGTGTGGCACACGGGTGACAAAGAGCTGCCCATCAAGAGCATCAGTGAAAGTTCCTCAGATGAGAAATGCAGTAGAGGAGTGGCCAAGAGGTTAAGCGCACTGCAACATTTGTAACCCAGAATCCTGGCTCAAATAAGTAAAATTGAAATACAGTAAAACGGAAAATACTCAGGAAGTATAAATCCTACTATTTCAGATACCTGGGAGCTACTTTAATATTGCTTGTATGTGAGGGAGGTTATGTGGTTAGGTTAGTAAAAATGTCCCCATTGCTTCCTGAAGTGGCCGAGGTGGGGCCTCGGTGTCAGGAAGCACAGAGTGCTTACGACAGAAGAGGCTGTGCCAAAAGGAGTCGTAAGACAAAGATGACAGGAAAATAATACATCCTTTAAACCCAGGGAAATTAAACAGCCCACTTCTGAGCAGTCCAAGGGCCAAGGATGGAATCTCAAGGGAAATAAGACATACAGAGAATTGAATGAAAATTAAGATGCAACATCATGAAACTTGTCACTGTACCTAAGGCAGTGCCTTCCAGGGAAAGTGACAGACAGCCCTAAATGTTTATGAGAAAGATCTCAGGTTAGCAGTCTCTGTTTCTGTCCAGAGAAACTGGAAAAAGCAAAGCAAACTCGGGGGACACAAAAGGAAGGGAATGGCATAGACATAAAAATCAGGAATAACAAGACTGAAACCAAAGTATTACTGAAACCAAAAACCAGTCCTTTGAAAAATAAGGATAAAAATGGGTAAAGCTCCAGCAAGACTCCCAAAGAAGGACAGAGATGCCCAATTCTAGAAACAAAACAGGGAGGACCACAGCAGACCCGAAGCTACTAGAAGAGTGCAGAGGAAATCCTACAACATCTGTGTGCACACAAGTCTGACAATCTAGAAGGATAGAGCCACGGCCTGGAAAACTGCAAAGTACCAGGACAGCCAGGATGAAACAGATGATCGGAGCACTCTTATAACCATTAAAGAAACTAATGTATAATTAAAAAGCTTCTCAAAAAGACATCTCCTGTCCCTGCTGGTTTCACCAGAGAATTTTATTGAACATTTAACTAAGAATTAATGCTGATTTCTACAATCTCTTTGAGAAAACGAGAACATATCCCCTGTCATTAATTGGGTGCCAAAATCAACCAACACACACACACACACACACACATGCGCACATACATGCACACACACAAATGCAGACCAGTATCTCACATTAGCTTAGATGCAAAAATCTTCAACAAGTATTAGCAAACTGAACACAGCACTATACAGAAAAGAATGCCACACCGTGACCACATGGGATTTATTTCTGGTAGGCAAGGCTACTTCAGTATTTGAAGGTCAATGTAACTACCACATCAACAAGATAAAGAGGAATAATTATAATCTCATCAATTAACACAGAAAATGCATTTGACCAAACCAAATTAACTAGTCATAACAAAAAGTCAGCAAAGTGGGAACTGAGGGTACTTTCTCAACTTGTCTCAAAGCACCTGGGACTTCACAGTGAGAAGCTGGATGCTTCCCTGAGATAGAAGTCAGGTGAGGGCCTGTCCTTGCCACTCACACTCTGCATGGTACTGAGGTCCTAGCCAGGATATAAAGCGAGAAAGGGAAATATGAGGCACATGGATTGGAAAGAAAGAACCAAACCCATTCTACTTACAAATGACATGACTGTCGATGTAAAGAATCCTACAGAGATACTGCAACCAATAATTAAGGTTTCAGGAAACAAGATTAATACACACACACACACATACACACACACACCCCAATATTGTGTTTTTATAAAGCAACAGTGAACAAGTAAAAAAAAATAAGAGCAGTACTATTTATAAAAATCTTAATGCTAAAAGTTATAAAATACCAACAGAAAAATATTAAGTAAAGACATACAATGTTCATAGATCGGAAAACTTGGTGTAGAAAATATACATGTTTTTCCAAAACTGATCTATAGGTTTGCTATAACTCCTACCAAAATCTCAGCAAGGTTTTGTTTTTTTTTTTTTTTTTTTTTTTTTTTTTTTTTGTTAACATTGATATATCTATGCTAAAATTTATATGGAAAGGACAGTCCTAGGAGAGCCAGGCAAAGAAGGAGGAGGGGTGGCCTTCCCAGAGTGAAGGTACACTGTTGTTACAGTACAGTACTGCATAACTGCTGTGTAGGAAAGACATGGGAAGCAGTGCAGGACAGACAGACCAGGGGGACAGGTCAGGGGAAGCAAGAGAGGCCCAAACATGCTTGGTGGGAAGTGACAACAACTTCATGAAGGGGGGACAGTGCCTTCTATAAATGGTATTGGAGCAGCTGGACAGCACAGTTAAATTTTTTTTAAAAGATAAAGCTCATACCTAATACAATATTTAACTCAAAATACATCATGAACTTGAGTGTATACAATTTAAAAAAGATAAGTCTTCAGGAATTAGGATTGGGGAAAGATCTTAGACGATATAAAAAGCACCTTCTCAGTTCCCCTGCTGTTTCTGAGCCAGGGGAGGACCCAGATGCAGGGCACAGGCCTCAGTGAGTGTGCAAGTGCGAGCCATGCCAACCTACCAAGTGCCCCCTGCCGTAGCCACGTCCCCATGTCCCCCAAATCGTACACTATGTGTGTACCATAGGCCCTCAGTCCTGAGGCTTTAACATGGCCTCCAGCACTGAGCTGGAGGAACACAGCCCATGCCTGGAGGTCTGGGTCTATAAGACCCTGTGCTGAACATGGCAAGGCCCCTGGACACTATGGCCTGGGCTCACTGTTGGGCTCTTTGAGTCTGTCTGCAAATGGCTGAGAAGACTAAAGGAGGCAGGGTCCAGAGGCTCCAGGCTCAGGGGAAGGTGCACGCACAGTGGGTAACCATGGGCGAGGACTCTTACATTGACTCCAGCCACAAGTGCAAGGGACAGTGGCTGACTCGTGGCCTGGACCTGCCAGAGCTGCTACTGTGAAGTGAGCTGCTCCCAGCCTGGTCTCCACCCCACTGTAGGGGCTGGGTCTTTTGCCACTG